ACAACTCCTTATGTAAAGAATTCTACAGCGAATCTATTCACAGTGATCTAGCGATGGCATAGGCTTAAAACTACAGAGGGGACCAACTTAACATCTGTATTTTACAACTGGTAAGCATTTAAGCCACAAGTGGTCTCTGAGACCTCGTCTCAGAAGGGAAGGAGCTAATGGTCAGTTGTGGGAAGTTAAGCCGCTGCTGCTCTCGACACTGCTGCCCCCACCCCTGCAGGCCTAGGCAGACACGTAGGGTGGCGGCGGCTCCTTGGCAGCACCATTCACAGTGGTATCATCATACGGGGGTAACAGCACTGTAGTGTCATTGCTGGTAACATACATCAGGACATCAAAGAAGTTTCTTCCATTGATGAATCGGTAGCAGTTCCACACACAGTTAATCAGGTAACCTTTAAAGGTCACGAAAATGCTGATAAACAGAAGAATAATGAGGACCAGACAGGTTGGATTCACTGACATGATGTCATCTCTGTAAGGAAAGTTTGCAGGCAGTTGTATGTACTTCTGGATGGAGTTTGGATAAACAAGCACAGTGACAGCAACCAAGGTGCTCAGGGCAAAATCGAATATCTGGTAACAGAAGAATGGGATGACCCAGGCAGTGTGTTGCTTGTAGGCGCCCTAAGTAGCCACTGCACAGATCAGGATCATGAGGAGAGAAATTGCAATAGCGATGCACATGTTGGCATTGTCCATGAACTCCAAGTCCCCTCCTAGTTCAGAACTGGAAAAGTGATATTGATCTGCATCAGCCACGGCGCTCAAGAGCATCAACAGTACCACGGCATTTATGATCAGGTACCAGATGCCAAGCATCAGGATGGTACCAGTGCGGACATGGCAGCACAGGCAGCAGCTGTTGGAGTAGAACCGCGTCCAGGGCACTATCATCTTCATCGCTCAGGCCACGGGTGCAGTTGCGCGAGTGCGCGCCCAGGTTTGCAGGAACGTCGGTGGCATAGCTTTGGCCTCCTTGCTCGCCCGCTGCCGGCTCCTTCTCCGCTCCAGCTTCTCCTGGAATCGCCTGCCCGCAGGCCCTGGCTTCGCGCTCCCATCGAGAGCTCCGGCCAAGAGTCTTTGCATATCATTATCATTAATGCCATCAAATCAGTATGGACTCATAGGGACCCTAAGCACAACAGAATACACTGTGCCAATTCATCTAGTTAGGGGTCTTCCTCTTTTTCTCTGACACTCCATTTTACTAAACATGATATCCTTCTCCAAGGACTGGTCCCTTCCGACAATTTGTCCAAATTATGAGAGGTAAAGTCTGGCAATCCTGGCTTCCAAGGAACATTCTGGCTATACTTCCTCCAACACATACTCGTTTCCAACACCATAGCTCAAATGCAGCAATACTTCTATGGTCTTCCTTATTCACTGTCCAACTTTCACATGTAATATGAGGTTACTGAAAAAAAATCATGGCTTGTGTCAGGTACACCTTAGTTCTCAAGCTGACATCTTTGCTCTTCAACATTTTAAAGAGGTCCTGTGCAGCAGATCTGCCTAAAGCAATACATCCCTTGATTTCTTTTTTTTTTTTTTTTTAAGTTTTTATTGTGAATTATGTGGGTTTACATGGGAGAACATCAGTTTTACATTCATCCCATCATATTTCATTTCATTACAATGATTACAATCCCCTCC